TGCGTACGGAATTCAGTTATTTTTACACGCCGGGATTGATTTTTCGGAGGAACCTGTTTGGACCAGATAAGAGGCTTTGCACGCATCAATAACCAATTTCTCCCTCCGACACAAAAGAAACTCTGGAGTGATACCTTAATCCCGCCTGCATTTCAAAGACCAACACGTCAAACAAGGACATCCATCTCGATGATGGCGTAACACTAACTTCTTTCCTGGCCAACGGAAAAAGAGCCTACTGCGTCTGCGCGAAACCTGGAATGTATTGAGCATAGCACTTTGGCAGTCATATTGGCATCTTTAAGGATGACATTCTGCCTATAGCTCAAATGTTGTGTCAGAAAAGATGTCGTATGTGATGCAACATTGACCAAGCATCCAAAGAAAACCGTAAAAAATCCGTGTTTCACACGGGCGCATTATGTTCTGCCGACTTGCTGGAAGACTCTATCCCTCTGCTTTTTTGTATTAAAACTTTTCCTAAGTAAAAGTCCCTCCGTCACGGCAGAAAATCCTGTTCAGCATCCTGGAATGCAAGATAATAGTGGGGCCGTTCCACAAAATTTAGGGACATGAGAATCAGTTGTCGGGGATGGACCCCAGTCAGACAACCTGGCACCGAACAAAGATTACAACATTTGTACCCTGCTAGGCAGTTTTGTGACGATTCAAACCTCAACTAATGCTGTAATTCATCACCATCTGCCCAGAAAGATTGGGCAGGCACTTATATAATCCTCATGATAAGTCCCCAGTGCGTGACCAAGTTACGCATATAATAGAGGACTATCGCTGGGAACAAGCCATTCACAGCTGCCTCATTTGATGACGATCGGCTCCATCAACCAGTAGTGTAAAAAACTGCGGTCATCAGACGTGACGGTGAAGACCTCCATTTGCATTATCAAACAGCTTTTGACACATGAAAGGCTGAGAGAATTGCATTTCACGGATCATGCAATCCCCTAATTTGGTTCAGGCCTTCCATCAAGATATGTCTCCATTACGAGACGTACCACTCTACCCATTCTTTCTACCCGCAAGGTCATACTCATCCGCTGCCTCAAGAATAATGTTGCATCCAGAACCGTGTTTTATCCAGAACCGTGCTTTATCCAGAACCCTGCGCAGGTTCTAGAAAGTCCCCACGTATCCAGAACCATGCTCGGGACAAATCTATGTTCTTGGATACACTGAGACTATCCAGAGACCAGAATCATGCCTGAATTCGAACCATGCCTGATCCTATTATCCTAATGTGATTTTTTTTACCTCCATGCCCTAAGATATAACCCATTCAGGCATAAGTTAACCACTGTTAAACCAACATAGATGTACTTATTCTGCTCCTTTTGCAAATTCTCAAAGACACAGACTCTGTACTTTGTGCATCTTACAAGTAAATTTACTGGGGAGGGGCAGTGTACATCAAAGTGAACAATTGCCACATTGTCCCTGAATTATTGTACATCCATAAACCGTGATAAATCTCCTGATGTACGTCAGGCACGTTGCCAGCCGCCTGAAGCAAACCACTGCAAAGTGGTGAGAAAGAATCATTTCCATTTTACTGGTGCTTAATCAGGTAAGTCAAGATCATACTGTATGTATTAACACTAAAATGATTTTGAATTAAGATGTGACTGTTAATCAAAATGCACAATTTTATACATTTTATTTGAACATAAACTAACATTTATTTGAACATAAACTAACATTGCACTGCCTCTGTATACTATGAAGAAAACTAAAAAAGACTACACTTCCAGCTTCTTGCTACATATATATTAGCGTTATTTTCATTCGGCTAATATTTCCCTGTTTTACAGTTATTGTCATACATTTGCTTTCCATTGTGTCTTCATACTTACATAACCTACAAAAGTATAGTACTTCTTCTAGACAGCTATAGACAAACATCAATATCATTATACATGTACAATGTAATGTCAATATGGTTTGAGCAGTAGGATCTGGGTTCTTGTGCTCTGCATGCATACCAACGCGAATGGGCTCAACATGACGTGAACTAAATGTGCCAGGGGGGCTGAAGGTTTGATCTGCTCACTGGGAGTCTGGCTCGACTTCCTGTCAAAATGCGCCAGGCTTTAATTGATAAGGAGCTGGAAAGGTGCGGCTTCTATGACACCACCTGCAGCATGCATACATGGGAGCAAATCCTTGCTACAAAAATCCTGAGGGCGTGGCTTTGATTTCAGATCCTCAGGAAAGCATGGGCTCTCATAAGAGATATCTGAGGTCTAGATAAGCATTCTGTTAACTGTTTGCTTGAATGTGTTTCTCTCAGCGTTGAAGACAACAGGTTACTTTGTCAAACTGTTGATCTACCGCTACCAGCCAGTTTAGGTATGCAGCACTGGAAAAACGGGAAGTTCCCATAACTTACATTTTTTTTGCAGTACTTTCATATTTGCAGTTTTTGTAGTCACTTCTGTACCGCGAACTTACATTTTGTATCATTACCATGGACAAATAATTTGCCGACTTGCTAGAAATCCTCTGCATCTGCCACCACCGCACACATAAGAAGTTTCACAGACAGGTCCATTTATCTCAGACCAAGGACTTTTGCTAAAACAAACATACATGACATTGTATAATAAAGTGTTTTACAGTATTTCAGCAAAAGGACTTGAACTTAATACCTACATTATGGAGATATGAATCTGAATAATTCATAAGCTGAGGCTACTGCATACTGTTTGCCATGTCACAACCAATGCCTTATCAAACATTCCATTAAGATTCCTGCTGTTTGTTTATTCTAAGCCATACAGATGGCTGGTCTGTCCTTGGTGCTAAAGTGCTGCTGTTATTGTGCAGTTCTGCCTTCCGGCAAAATCTCCCTTCTTTGATAAGCCTGAGAGTTCAGAATTACCATATATGTATACAGCAGCTGCTGTATATATCAGCTTTAGGAACTTTTATTTATACATGAAAACACATTACTGAGTAAAAGTTTATGTGGGTATGAAAAATATTCTTGATTATTTCAGGACCCGAAATACTTACCTAAATTCATAGGCAGATGTAAGAGTTGGACATAAAATAACTTACAGTAACAAGCACATGTACCACTAAAACTAGAAAACTGCACACTGTGCAGAAATGTACCAGAACCATGCCTCTCGTATGTGCATACTAAAGTCAGTTTGCCTTGGGGACATTTTGTTGAGAAGTGATATCCATATCGTTAATCCTGGCCCGTGTGTGCATGTGTGTACTACAGGCAAGAAGGCATAAAGTTAAGCCTACATCCAGGTCTGGTTATTAAAAAAATCAATACTACTGTAGAAAGTCTATGTGCCTCACATGTGTAAGTAACTCACTTCTCCTCAGGGCATTGCAGCAAACATAAAGGCCTATTACCAGCTACATGTAGCATCTATACACTTTGAAATTGCTTCAGCTGCATATGCAGTGTGCTTAAAACTGCATCATAATATATCATTGGTACTATACTCAAGTCAAGAATTCGAAGCCTCCACTTTATAAGTTTGGGAAATATGGACATTAAATGCAAGCTTAAGACACATACATCACTGGATAAAGCATGTATTATGGAATATACAGTACAAAAATTGCTATAATAATACTTTATTGCCAGTGCATGAGTGCTATTTGGGCAATGACTAAGATTATCGGCCACTTAAACTCCCTACATTAAATACGATACAGAGTTAGGGCCCTTCGATGGTCTCAAGGGTCCAATGTTACCATAACATTATGTGCAATATCATCCCCATCATTTTTTATGGTACCGCCTTGATGTTCACCTTGTCCATACAATAAAACTTGAGCGTTCCCTGATCGTTGTGCGATTATTGATTACTTGTCCCTGTAGTCGGTAACTGCCAGAATTTATTGAACTATCAAATTACAATCGGACGCTGGCTTGAGCGGGGTTTCGATTACACCCTCAGTTTTCTGTCAATGTGCCACATCCATGCCTGGCTCTTTTGCCAGGATGTACAGAGTAATCTCTTTCAAATCCTTTCAACTTGGCAGGCGTCCAAAATGACCAAACAGGTTGCTGCAAAATCAATTCCTTTTTCTGGTAGAGTCACTCATCAAAAAAACAAAACATTACTTGATCATGTTGCAACCAGGACTGTGTGTAAATTAGAAAACTGGAAGAATCTGCTAACGATCATCTTCTTGAGACATAAAAGGTTCAAGTTAAAAGTTTTTTCCTTCTTTGAAAGAAAATTTTGCAGAAAATGCTCAAGAAACTTTGCCTTGCATCCCACAATTCAGAAACTTTGACCCCTTTGTATTTATTTGTCCAAGTTTCTCAATAATAACAAGGAGGGCATAGCTTGGCAGTGTATGACACATATAAAGAAAGAAGTGCGTTCAAAAATGATGGTTGCCCTCTCAATGACTGCAAAAGTTCTTCAAAAGTATCACTGACCTAAGTAGAGCTATAACTAACTGTTTGATGGCAACTTTCCAAATGTCAAGTACAAGTACAGTCAACTACAGGTTTCTTGATCCATTGATATATCTAGGAAGATAATTGGTTCATCCGTCATGCATGCCAAAAAGGATTATTCTCTGACTTTGTATAACTGGGATTAAGCCAAAGACATATAGCAATCTGGTCTTTGGGATTTGGTTTTTAGGTTTACTGTTACCAAACTTCTTGAATCAGCAATTTAAGTCACTATAATAATGATATAAGTAAACAGTCACAGTCCAGGACCTGACTTTCCAGCCAAGTTTGAGCTTTAAGTTTTATAATTCTGCAGGGTACCTCAGGCTGCCGGAACCAAACAAAGGTACACACAGTTTAAGTGTTCGCAACATTTTTGATGGAGCCTTTTTTTTCATGTCAAAGTTACAAGAACAAAAATTGTGTGGGTCAGGCTTTAATTCAAAGTTTAGTAATATCAACCATGACATCAGTTATCATTTGATGATTTTGCACTTTTTGATCCAACACAAGTAAATTTTAGTGATAAATTTTAGTCATTTACCTTTGTCATTATCCGACTGGAATCCCCCAACCATCCTCTTCATGCCTTCATAGAAGTCTTCAAAGCCGATCTCCCCCGTGCCTGCTGGGTCCAGGTGGGCAGTGATCTCACTCAAGTCCTGCAACACAACACGGAAAGTCTGTCAGCGTAACCTCCCTTTTTTTAAATGTCACAGTTCAAAACATACACCTCAAAAATGCTAAGAATCAACATTGACTTAATTGGACAAGACAGAGACAATTATTCTGGAAATATTTCTTTATTATTAATTCAAACCACTGTGGAGTCTGGAGTAATCCACCTGTATGAAGTATTTACAATCACAAGAATCTAGTCAAAGAATCTGTAAAATGCATGGGGTTCACAGAGTAAGAAAAAGTAATACCTTAACCTTTTAACACTATATACCAATTTCAAAACAGCTTTGGCTGTCTAGACTGGTAAATTCTCTCCCTACATCTTAGTAAGAGCCTGGTGTGTCTAGACAGAATACCTAGATTAGAACCAAAGGGCATTTGAAACACTCTTACTTTCAAATTTGAATTCAATACAGTATGAGGTATCACATCCAAAATAGTTACAAAGCAACTGTAATGCATCAGATAGTAAGTATGTGCTGTATAAATTAAAGATGATGATGATGATTTATAGGCTGCACAAATTCCTTGTAGTATACAAAAATACATGTATAACTGCGTGCATGCTGTCCTTTAATTTTAATATTAGCATTCATACTCTGAGGTCTTGAAATTATGCCTCATTCGATAGTAACAAATCATGAACATATGAATTACAACAAATTCTCAACAACATGTATTGAAAAGCGGTCATATGTAACCGAACAAGCTTTCGAGTTTAAATAAAGGCTTACCTACCTACCTACCTACCTACTAGTACGTGTATGTACTATTAACAGAGACCAGGGTCATCATTTGTAGAATACCAGTCATTAAGGAATCGTAAAGCATTAAAAAGCCTTGCATGCCATATACCAGAACAACAGCTTAAATTTGCAGAAAGTTTTTCCCAATTACACTTCAAGTCTTTTCGAGCCCTGACCTAAGAGTAAAACCCCAACGGCGTTGCATCATAGAAAGATGCTTTCATTTCAACTCTCTTCCCCTCATCAGCGGAAAAACTATCAACAGACCGATCACCGTGAATACCCGCTGGGCAGATTTCTTCATCTCAATCTCTCTTCATACAGTACTGACCATAGCAGGGAATCATTGGGAATCTTCTCATGTACCACATTAATGGAATTGTCTGCATGTAATGAGTGTATGAAGCACCCTATGGGGTTACAAAAAGGCATTTTGTCTTCGTACTTCCTATAATGGAATGGCACTGCCATACATGTACTAGTAGCTGTTGGCAATGCATTTATCAAGTGAGTTGTTCAAAATACATGCAGTCTACTTGTGTACATGCAGGGCTGTCTTTTGTGAAAGTACAATTTCATGTACACACAATGCTGTACACAGTCACAGCCGTAACACCAGATCTAGAGCACTACAACCAATCCGGAAGGATGTCTACTGCTGCTACTCATATAAATGCACTGTGCATGAACAGACTTGTGCAGGAATTTTAATGAATCATAAAATGTTGGAAGATAATATTTCTACTGTCACACTGTATCACATTCGTCTAAAATTTCTATGGGCTTGAGTCTTTGAGAAAGTTTGACACAGAATATTGTTGGGTTTTTTTTTACAAATAATTGCATGTTACTGTCTTAATGCATATTTTCCTTGTTTCATGATGCTTAAATCTATCTGATAAGCATTTCATTACCAGGAATTGTTGTTACATAAGTGTGATATTTGCAAAAGTACTTCAATTACTTGGCAAAGTCCAACCAGCTGCTATCCAAATAGTCACCCATCAACAAAAAACAACATTTCTCACGTTACAACTCCTCGTTTTTCTTTCAACCATCCAGTACTTCAAACGCCTAATTTAAAGTGGATATAATAAAACAGCAGTGTTAAACGGTTCAGTGCACTTTCCGACCAATTTGTAAGGGGCCGCCGGGACGTTTTGTTCCAAACTTACCGAATAAATACCCCATCACCAACAAGGCTGAACAGTGGAAGTGTTTGGAAACCAACACAGGGCCAGCCAAAGTACAGTTTGCAAGTTTGTCAGACAAACATGGCTGATTATACCCTGTGTTGTCCATTGTAGACAGTGACACGCTGGGCTGCCAGGCACAAATAAACCTGCCAGACTGTCCCTGCCGCTGTTTGGGGACTCTGGACATAAAGCTGAGTAGGACAAATTCCACAGCACCATAGACAGTTACTGAGTAGAATTAGATAAATACTAAAGCTTATAACTTATATGCAGCTATATGTCATCAGACACAACTTTGCCAAATTAGCTGTTCAAGTAAGTATGATATTAAAATGAAAATGATTAGTAAAATTAATATTTCTAATTTCTAAACTTCTCAGCCAGAGTCACAGACATTATCAAATTTACATCATATTCGTAAATTTAGTACCAAGGAGAAGCCATTTATTTTTCAACAAAATGGAGACAAATGACAGTAGATTTAATAGATATCCTAAGACTAAGAGTGAAACATATCAATTTCACACAATTCTTTCCTTTCAGTGACCACAAAAAGTGCAAATCAAGTGGAAGTCTCATAAGCATTATGTAAATAAGAATTACGACCATATTATTACATAACATGTAAAATACATGATGATTTAAATGTCGGACGCATCCGTCACAGTCCGTCAACAAACAACAATAAAATGCCGTCCCATAGACAGACCACAATACGCTGACCTACAAATGCTCAAGTAGTACGGGGTGAAAAGAAAATCCAATTGGCAATCGGATACGGGATGTTTGTCCAATTCAGTCGAAGATTTATACAGCGTACCACAATTATATGATCCTGTTGTGTGTAAATAGAGCTATTGATGTACAATAACAGAGGCTAAACCAATTAAATTTCTTGGTTCTCGGATTTAGACAAAAATCATACCAGATTGGGACATCGACATTGAAGCAAAGTCTGAGGGGAAGTCTGTACTCACATGTTTAGACTACCGGTAATTAGGGAGTAAACAGAGTCAGTATACAAGTGATCCTACAACACCAATGTACCTATTTTTGGTGGTCCCTCAGTATGTTTTTTACATGATATTTCCACCATTGACACAGGCAATAAGAATCCTGGCTATAAGTGACCACCTGTCCACATATAGTTATCTCTCCTCTGATTGGTCTTCTTGGGCAGATTTGATTGAACATTGTTTTCACCTTAGCCTTCTGTTACCCTCTAGCCAAAATTTTTACCAGAAATATCTGAGACCCAACAAATAAATTTGTTGCAGCCAGACCATATGGCTGTCCATAAGGTGAAACAACATGATCACAGCTTAATCAGGAAGCCAATACCATGGCCACAATAAAGTCTGCAGCAGATAAGGTCATTTCAGACTTTTGCTGAATCGAATAGATTGAACTGACTGAAAATGGCCCATAGCCACTGCCCCATAATGACCATCTGGACGGGAAACTTATGTTTTCTCTTTTTATCACTACACAGTAGCACAGGCAGTCTTTGCAATTTCCTAGTATACACTCACACAAAGGATGGATCCTTGACAAAATACCAATAGGTTGATACATGTATATTCTGTACGTTTTGCTTCTAAACCATTGATATTTTTACCATAAAATTTTTTTTTGCAAATCGTTCAGATATTTTTTCAAATTTTTAAAGGCATTTATAACAGCATGATCTGTACTGCTACTACAAAAATGTTATTTCACAGCAAGTAATTAAAGCTAATTGGAACAAACAAAATTCAGCCCTTAAAGAGTTCTCTAAAGACTGTAGTGGATGTGCACACTAAGGAACACTGTGGGATGAAGTGCCTCTAAACACTCAGTCAGAGCTTAATTCTACTATTAGGGATTCTAAATATGTGCACACACACACATTACACAATGCAACAAAAAAGTTACAGTTTCAACATCCTTGATACGAACTCTTATTTTGACATGCAAAAGTAGCATTAAGTAGTCACTTAAGTCACTTCTAACTCTTGCGATTTGCTGCCATTATGAACAGCTCAAAGTTCTCTTAGACTGGAGGAGTACAGAACAATGACGTGATTGACACCCGGGACCAAAGGTGGTCCTTCCTGACCAAAGTATCAACACAGAGAAGGGGTGAAAAAGGTCACACGTGCACCTGGAGCGACGCGAGGAATCAATTTTATTGGTTTATGACACCATAACAAAGAAAGCGCCAGCAAAGCACTAATTGTTACCTGTAACATTCATTTAATTTTTACGTTAGCTAAGACCTATATGATAAGTAAAATCAACCTATTTAGCTATGACCTAGTTCTTCTTCTTAATCTTATGAATATAAGGCTGCACTTCCCTCGTCATCTATGAGTCTGCTTGGTACGTCTACTACGATCATTTAGTTTTTGTGTTTTTTTTTTAATCAAGACCTACATGAATTCTATCTGGAATCAAACTATTTAGGTACGATCTGTACAATTTAATGTTAAAAAACATACATGTACACAGTATTCTACCTTTACATTCTTATGAATGAGGTTGAAACCCTCTTCATCTGTAAACGACTGCTTGATACAAGTATATATAATATATATATGTTTTATTCCTACTTTAGGAGAACGTGACCACATTCACTTTAAGATTATACACCTGGGTTCACAAGGAGACAACATGCCTCCAAGAAGCAAATACTTGAGGCACAGATAAAGGTCAACAGTAACTCAAGGACAAGAAAGACACGGCCTATTGTGTGTGAACTGCTGATTCTTCACACCTCACTGTCTCGCGTGCTTATACATTATTTACACCTGGTGACCTGCAGAAGACCTTTATACACAACAGGTCTCACTGTTTATGGTTCTCCTCAAAGAGTATTGTTCAATTTGTTGTTGTTTTTTTCCTTGCCTGTCTGTCTGCATGGCAGTCTGTCTGTATGTATTTCTGACCCAAAGCAGTATGTACTGTACTGTATATTAAAACTTCAATAAAAGGCGTGAAGTCTCCCATCTCTGATTGCCTTGTTTTGAAAGTGCTAACTTATGTCTGTTTCAAATGACA